AACAATAAATAACCAGCAAAAAAAGATTTAACAGTACTGCTTAACTGACNCAAAAACAAACAAAAAATTAATATATAATGCCAAAAAAACAATCAATTAATAACCATAAAAAACACGCTAACAATATATAATCAGCAAAAAAAGATTTAACAGTACTGCTTAACTGACATCTTACAACCTAATATAAGTTATTTGTCATCTAATCTGCAACAACAGAAGTCACACTGATATTACTTTAAGCTGAATTACGCTTATAATTGAGACATTGAAAAATATTTGTTGTTTTTTTCACGGTAAATAAAGAGTTTTGATTTGATAGTATTATTATTTTCCGAATAATCACGAAGTCAAAATTATTTGACGGCACGTCTATGACCTCATTAAACTTTTTTTTTGAAAAAATGGCACGTTGGTGCATAAAGGTTCGCCATCCCTGCTCTAGGAACACTAGTGATTTAAAGTTCAAAATGAGGAATAACATAGTGGCAGAGACTGATAAAAAGCATGAACTTAAAATGCAAAAAAACAACATAAAATAGTTTAAGATAAAATCAAGTGAAAATCAAAACAAAAATCAAGAAGTAAAAATCAAACCATAACAGGTAAATCAATAAGATATTTAACGTATGTCTTTCCCAACAATTTACGATTGCTAATGTTCAACTCCGTAGCTTTGTAATTTTGAACCCAATCCAGAAAACAAAGGAAATCCTGGAACAAGTACTGGGAGAAATTTGCAGTCGTGGAAGACTTTTTGATAGAACTTACCCGTATTTCCGTTACATGGAGAGGAAGACCACGAGAACCTCCCACGGTAAGCCTGACAGCAAGGGACCTCTAACCAATGATTTGTCTACCACTGAGGATAGTTCACGTCAGCACTACGGTCGGTGCAAGCCGGATGCGGAACTCATATCGACCCGAAATCTCTGGATTTCGAACCCGTTTCACCTCATTGGAAGGCGAACGCTCTATCGCCTGAGCTATCGAGGGTCTGCAAATGAATCTCAAAATCTTTCATACATTTGCTGATCAATAAAGAGATTTCTGCTATTAGGAATGAAATTAATTGAAAACCTAAACATTTAGGACCACAGATTAATAGCTAGATAAGAAAAAAATAGAGTTAAAATCTGAGAAATCGGTTTTTAAAATAGAGCTATTTTTCTTTCCGCAAGAAACTTGAAGATGTTTATAATAATCTCATATATTCTTTGTTATTGGTTGATTCGGGCAGTAACCCCTCAAATCTCCACCCTTTTCGCAGCATTAAGTACATATTTCCCATTTTCATATATTATTCAAAATTATTACGTTAACTCCCCGGCTATAAGCAGAGAAATAAATATAGTTGCATGTATATTTGCAGTTTCTACAATTGCACATAACAGAACGTTAGCTCCCAGAAGGACACATTTCTGAAAACAATGATTAAAAAAGGTGACTGATGCCTGCAGTGCACATCACAAGTACTGCCTGGTTAATAAAATAACATTGCAGCTATTTGTACTTTNCTACGATTACTATCAACTCCGTAGCCTTGTAATTTTGAACCCAATCCAGAAAACAAAGGAAATCCTTGAACAAGTACTCGGAAAAATTTGCCATCGTGGAAGACTTTTTGATAGAACTTACCCGTATTTCCATTACATGGAGAGGAAGACCACGAGAACCTCCCACTGTAAGCCTGACAGCAAGGGACCTCTAACCAATGATCTGTCTACCACTGAGGATAGTTCACGTCAGCACTAAGGTCGGTGCAAGCCGGATGCGGAATTCATATCGACCAGCAATCTCTGGAATTCGAACCCGTTTCACCTCATTGGAAGGCGAACGCTCTATCGCCTGAGCCATCGTGGGTCTGCAAATGAATCTCAAAATCTTTCATACATTTGCTGATCAATAAAGAGATTTCTGCTATTAGGAATGAAATTAATTGAAAACCTAAACATTTAGGACCACAGATTAATAGCTAGATAAGAAAAAAATAGAGTTAAAATCTGAGAAATCGGTTTTTAAAATAGAGCTATTTTTCTTTCTGCAAGAAACTTGAAGATGTTTATAATAATCTCATATATTCTTTGTTATTGGTTGATTCGGGCAGTAACACCTCAAATCCCCACCCTTTTCGCAGCATTAAGTATATATTTCCCATTTTCATATATTATTCAAAATTATTACGTAAACTCCCCGGCTATAAGCAGAGAAATAAATATATTTGCATGTATATTTGCAGTTTCTACAATTGCACATAACAGAACGTCAGCTCCCAGAAGGGCACATTTCTGAAAACAATGTTTAAAAAGGTGACTGATGCCTGCAGTGCACATCACAAGTACTGCCTGGTTAATAAAATAACATTGCAGCTATTTGTACTTTCTTTAAAGTTTTCACCCAAATTCGGGATCATAGAAGGATTCAAAGATTGTTTTCTTAAACTTATTGGATTCAATAGTCTATTGTAGAAGTTCATACAATCTAAAAGTGTTTATACATATGTATAAATACTTACTTTAAAACAACAACTTACACTATACAACTTTAAGGAATTGCTTCATATTTAAACGTAGAATAATACCCAAATTTCAACTGGATTTTAAGTACAATATATATCAAAATGTATAAATTCAATACTTTTTACAAAAAGTTAAAAATTGTAATGAACGCTTTGCATTCGTATGTCTACTTTCAACCACAAAAGCATTTTTACCGTTCCAGTCATATATCCGCTCTCAGCTATCAAAGCTTTTTTTTTACCTTCACAGTCGTACGCCTGATATAACAGTAAAGAACATATATAATTCTAAATAATATTTTACCAATTCTCTTCAAGAATAGTACCTTTTTTATTGTTCAATGTATTAAATTTGTCAAAAAAGAAATTCCGACAAGTAGAACAACTAATCATAAACTTAATATGACCCAATAGGATTAAAATGACTGAATTTCTTTAAAAACAATTCACATAATTAACAAAAGAACAATAAATGATATAAACAACATCAGTAAGTATACAACAATTTTATTTTTCTCTTTCTTTTTTACCATAGGTAAAAATTAATTTTAATTATACATTTATGAAGTTTTAAAGAAATCAACTCACTCATACGTTGAAAATTATACACAAAATAAAGTTTAGTGGCATTAGCAAGTTATTAGCAAAATTTCAGCGGCTATGTTTCTTGCAGTAAATTTAAATTCACAAATTTCAGCTTGCACTTATAATATATAATATTTGACTAATTATAATAATAATATAATATATAATAATATATAATATTTATAATATATAATATTATGACTATAATATTTGAAGAGTTCATTTTGAAACAATAAGTAAAAATTGATGGTATATTTATGAGTAAAAATAAATAGTAAACGCATTCAAATGCGGAATTTTTAGATTTCATGACATTACAGAATTTATACAGATTTACAAAAATAGAGATCTCCAATTTCTCTACTATAAAAAAGAGATAATTGAACTTCTAAAATACTTTTTATTTCAAACAATACCGTTCAACTTTATTGTAAAGATAGACTATTTTGTAAAATTTAAATTTCGTTGTGAACACATTTGGTGTCAGTTAAACACATATGGTGGTAATTAAAATTCAAAGGTTAACTAAGACAAAAATAACAGTCTATAATAAAAAAATTAAATTAACCATTTCTAATAAGTGACCATTTCTTTTAATAAAACAATCATACTTTATAGTTTATTTAAAAAACTACACAATAAAATGCACCATGTGTTTTAACTGTCATTTTAGAGTTTACATACTAAATGATCATCCTAATTTTTATATAATTTGCAGTAGTTCAATTAAAATAAAGTAATAGCAAAATTATTTCTTTATCAGGATATCTATGTGTGACTTAATTTATTCATCACTGCTAATTTCAAAATAAGTATTATATCATTGTACTAAAAAACTATTAATTTTAAATACATTGTAATAAAAGTGAAAGCAAAAACAAACGCTTAATATTATTTACAACTATATCATTATATTATATATCATCATTATATTATTTGCACCTATACTGTTAATTATTGTTTACATTGTTGTTTATCACATTTACCATTGTTTTCACTCTATCCTACGAATATACACTGGTTATCATAAATTAAGGAAAAATCACAAAAATAGCGATAACTCTTTCAAAAGTAAGCCAAACCGTGCANGTAAAATGTAAGTTTCTTTGTAAACATATTTGATGTCAGTTTAACACATTTGGTGATAATTAAAATTCAAAGTTTAATTTTATTTTAAAAACATCTATTCTTAAAACTAAGACAAAATAACATATTGTAATTAAAAAATTAAATTAAAAGTGTATTATTTTAACAAAACAATCATACTTTAGAGTCTATTTAAAGAAACTGCACAATAAAATACATAATGTGTTTCAACTGTCATTTCAGTGTTTATATACTGAATGATCATCCTAACTTTTATATAAATTGCAGTAGTTCAATTAAAATAAAGTAATCGCCAAATTATTTCTATATCAGGATATCTATGTGTGACTTAATTTATTCATCACTGCTAATTTCAAAATAAGTATTATATCATTGTACTAAAAAACTATTAATTTTAAATACATTGTAATAAAAGTGAAAGCAAAAACAAACGCTTAATATTATTTACAACTATATCATTATATTATATATCATCATTATATTATTTGCACCTATACTGTTAATTATTGTTTACATTGTTGTTTATCACATTTACCATTGTTTTCACTCTATCCTACGAATATACACTGGTTATCATAAATTAAGGAAAAATCACAAAAATAGCGATAACTCTTTCAAAAGTAAGCCANATATTTGGTTTCAACAACGAGTGTTTTAACTATCTTTACAACTACTCAACATGGTTGAAAGAGAAAACAAATACCGTGTTTTTTTACAAATATTATAAAAAACATATCTAAGCAAATATGGCTTGTAGCTGATTCGAAAATTTCATTTATAAAATAAAAACAATTTATTCTTTTTTAATACCTGGAACACATAAACGCATAAGCAATATTATATCATCTTTGCTCATGTCATTAATAGACTCCATGTTTACAACAGACGGAAAATTAGCACTTACTAACTGCACGACTCCGTTCCTAAAATCTTCATCGTTATGACGATTTGCCAAAGTGAACAGGGAACATGCATTGTTGACATCGAGATTTCTCAGCAATTCCTCTCTGCAGTCGTCTCGTAAAGACAGCACTTCATACTTGTCTGCCGCGTAGTACAGCTCCATGGCTTCATCAAAATTGCACTTTTCCATTCGACCAGTGTACAAAAAAGTGACCAGTTTCTTAAGTGTTGATGCCCTGATGTCTGATATGGCAATCGCATTTTCTGAGGCTTCGATTGAATCGTGACTAAACATTTTGTAGAACACAGGGGAACGAGCTTGAAGAATAATTTTGTGAGCTTTGATGCTCTCTTCCGCCGTTGTGAGTTCGATGTCTGTGTTGAGACCTTCTTCCAGAACCTTCATCAAATCGGAAGAAATCTCATCCTTTCTTTTCTCGTGGGTAACATTCAATGTAGGGAAATAGTCGTTCTTTAACGATTTTGCTATACAACTAACAATTATCGGATATTCTGTGGTAGTTGGTAATTTTAGGAAATCACATCCCAACAAATAAATCCCATCGAATGCGGTGAAATCATTTATTGACTTAATGATACACTTAATACATGAATTGTTCTTGTCAAATATGGTAAGGACATAATTTCCATTTCCCAAAGTTTTGGAATTATGTAGATAAAAATATATCTGTCCTCTTTCTTTAACCACTATTTAAAGAAATGAGTTTATTTTTTCCGCACCTCCAAGGTTGAATTCAGAGCTTCGTAAAACATTGGAATTTCTTAAATCAGACTCTTCAAGCTTCCACTCCGAAAACAAAAAGTTTTTAGAATAAACAATTAAAAGGTTTTCATTTCGTATCACACGAACCATTTTAATGCAGCAAACAACACTTGATTAAATTTCGAAATCGAAATTATAACTTCCTCTTCGAATTAAAAGAAAGTTGATTCCCAATTACATAAGAGTTTTTCAAACAACAGTTACTTGATACGAATATCTTTCACAAAAAGGCAAATAGTAAAAATGCAGAAAGTAATAACACAACAAGTCAAGTACAACCTAACTCAAACACGAAGTGAAACTAAAAAATTACCCATAAGTCTTATCAAATGACGGACATTGAAACACTCCGTCTCATTCTCTCCGTTCAAGGTTAATTCCAATCATTACGTCAAAGAAAAAGCAGTTGCTTATCTTTTTTAATAGTCCAAAATAGAAGAGAATAAACATGAATCATTTATTCGTTATATTTTTTTAAAAAGTTCTCCCCCCCCCTTTCTTTTTTAAATCCTGAGTTTTGCTGTCGTTGCTTTGATGCTTAGTTCGAAATTGCTTTTAATGCGAGTTTCTTTTTTCCTTTTTTTAAATTCTAATTTGTTCTATAGATTTTTTCTGTTACACTTTGTTCTGTTCTGCAGAAGCTGTGGACTTAGAGACTTGAAATCTACGAAAGGTACGAAGATGTGTCAAAAAAGTACAAGAAAAACAATGGGAAAAACATTTTAACACTCGATAATTAGTTTATGAAATGTTAACTGCTAAATTTGAAGTAATATAGCATTTGAACCATTCTGCACTGCGTGGAAATTCCGAGTTGAAATTTCACATGCTGAAAGGGTCATTTTCATTTATGAACTTAATGTTATTTTTCTTCGAAATTCCAAAATGCTCAAAATTTATTACACATTTAAATATTTCTTTATTTTTGCGAATTTTTTTAAACTTTTATTTGTTTCAATAATATCTATTTTTCAATTGGATTGGAAAATTTCTTTCTAACGATCTTCATTTTATTGTCTCGAATTGGACTTCATGTCTAAAATAATAAGTATACATACATCTAGTGTGGCACCATAAACTCGGGTATTTCTCTATCGATTGGCAACAGTATAGGTATAGTTATTCATTTTGTTAGGTTATCTTAAGTAATAATTAAACGAGAGAGAAAAATTATATGTTGTGCAGAGCTGCTGCTAGCTGCTCTATAAAAACAAAAGCTTACCGTCACAATATGTATATATGTTTTTAATTGTGTAATAAGGATAATTATATTTTTGATTTAATATTTCAGTCAATTAACAAATTTTATAATATGAAATTTATATCCTATTCTGTTCTGTTCTTTACCCTATTTACATCTATTTTAAAACTGAAATTTGCACGTGATTATTTTTTACATACATACATACGTATATATACATATTTACGTATCATAACACAATTAATTATTATATAACTAATTAATAATAAGTAATAACTTGTATGACACAATAAATTAACACAATTAATACTAATTATAGCGCATTTAATTAACTACTTATAATTGTATGCAAAATTACGAAAAAAAAATTATTCAGATAGCTCAAATAATTAAGGGTAGTTTTATATTTAAAGAGTATTTTTTGTATTTTTTTTTATCTCATCCAGGGTAAGTTGATTCTTTAACATATGGATTATTGTTTTATTTCACTATTAAATATTACGATTCTTGCATTAAACTATTAAAACAGCGTAATGGTTGAGCTGAGTTCGTTATAAATTCATATATGACTAAATTTGGATATATGGATAATTATGGATAATTATATGGAAATATATGGATAATTATAACACATAACTACTTATAATTGTACGTAAATTTATGAAAAAATGTTTCAGATAGCTTAATTTAATATGAGCAATTTTATATTTTAAGAATATTTTTAGTAATCAATTAACTAAGGGAAATTTTGTAGTTTAAGAGTATTTTTAGAATTATTTAATCTCATCCAAGGTAAGTTGATCCTTTAATATATGGATTATTGTTTTATTTCACGATTAAATATTACGATTCTTGCATTGAACTATTAAAACTGCATTATGGTATAAATGATTTCGTTATAAATTCATATATGACTAAATTAATAAATTTGGAGCCGGTTAGAAACTCAGTTTATGTTAAAGGTTTGCGTAAACCGTTTGATGAAATGGAGGTAAACACAAGAAATTTACGTACTTGAAATGTTACCGAAGGATCGTATGGCCATTTATTAAATCCATTGTTACTGAAATTATTGCCCCAAGATTTAGTTTTAGAATTTCATCGAAAACGTGATAAAAATAAGAATTGTAAAATTTCAGAAATGACATTTTTTAAAAATGAGGTCGAGTCTAGAAAAATTTGTGAATCTGTAGTAAGTAGCCCCAAAAAAACTAAGCCCACCCCTTTTCAAAATTATCAGTGGACAAACGCATCAAAAGAATTACTCTAAATCTAAACATGTAGCCACAGATTCAAGTTTGCATATCCTGTCTAAAAATATTTGTATTTTTTGTGGTTTAACAAATTCTCATGATTGCAAAAAATTGGATGTTGAACAGAAAATTAGTGAACTTACGTCTGACAGTCGATGTTGCGTTTGTTTCAAAAGGATTAATTATCGATTGGACCTACTTCTCTTTGAAGAGAGAAGGCCTTCGCACGTACCCGGTTCTTAGAATTTCCAAGGAACAAGCATAAGTTGTGCAATTTGGGAAGAAAAATATTTGTGTCACAGCGTTAGGACTGCAAGGGATCGGGTTTTCAGTAAGTAGTAACTCGTGCGAAGGTCTTCTCTTTTCAAAGAGTGACTAAATGGATAACTTCTTTGTTATTGGATGATTCGGGCAGTAACTCCTCAAATCCCCTCCCTTTTGCACAGCTTTAAGTATATATTTCCCATTTTCATATATTATTCAAAAATATTAGGTAAACTTCCCGGCTATAAGCAGAGAAATAAATATGTTTGCTTGTATATTTGCAGTTTATGCAATTGCTAATAACAAAATGTCAGCTCCCAGAAGGGAACATTTCTGAAAACAGTGAATAAAAAAGGTGACTGACGCCTGCAGCGTACCTCACAAGCACTGCGTGGTTAATAAAATAACATTGCAGTTATTTTGTACTTATCTACAGTATTCAACCAGATTCGCTATCATGGAAGGATTCATATATTGTTCTTTTAAAACCAATTGGATTCAAAAGACTATTGTGGAAGTTCATGAAATCTAAAAGTGTTTATACATCTGTGCATACATAAGTATAAATACTTGTGCATGCATTGTGTTCATATATGTGCATACATAGTGTTTGTATTAAGATAAACAACTTTAAGGAATTGCTTCATACTCAAACGTAAAATAACACCCAAATTTCAACGGGGTTTTAAGTAAAATATATTTCTAAATATATGAATTCAATACTTTTTACTGAAAGGTAGAAATTGTAATGAACTCTTTGCAGCCACAAAAGCATTTTTACCGTTTCAGTCATACATCCGCTCTAAGCCATTAAAGGTTTCTTTTAGCGCTACAGTCATATGCCGGCTATAACAGTAAATAACATAACTACTGAAAAACACTGTATAACTATTGAAAAATACTGTTGTTACGGGTACAGTTCACTTACGTCCATAGTACATGGAGATGTATATAATATTTTACTAATATTTTATTATTTACTAAATAATATTTTACCAATTGTGTCAAGCATAGAAAACTACTTTTTCTTCATCGTTTAGTGTATTAAATATGTCCAAAAAAAATCTCGACAAGTAGAACAACTAAACATAAACTCAATATGATCCAATAGGATTAAAAATGATAAATTTGTTTAAAAATAATTTACATAATTAAGAAAATAACAATAAATGATATAAACAACATTTGCAGGAAGCATACAATAATTTTATTTTTCTCTTTCTTTTTTACCATAGGTAAAATTTAATTTTAAATATACATTTATGAAGTTTAAAGAAATCAACTATATATAAACTGATAATCTTTAAAATTTATTGTTATACAAATATTAATTTATATCTCAATAAGGTATCTCTCATTAAAAATATTTTGATTCAACAACGAGTGCAATTATCTTTCCAATTTCTCAACATGGTTAAAAAAGAAAACAAATACTGTGCTTTTTTACAAATATTATAAAAAAACATATATCAGCAAATATGGCTTGTAACTGATTCGAAATCTCATTTATAAAATAGGAACAATTTATTTCTTTTCAATACGTGGAGCACATAAACGCATAAGCAATATCATATCATCTTTGCTCATGTCATTAATCGACTCCGTGTTTACAACAGAAGGAAAATTAGCACTTACTAACTGCACGACTCCTTTCCTAAAATCTTCATCGTTATGACGATTTGCCAAAGTGAACAGGGAACATGCATTGTTGACATCGAGATTTCTCAGCAATTCCTCCCTGCAGTCGTCTCGTAAGGACAGCACTTCATACTTGTCAGCAGCGTAGTACAGCTCCATGGCTTCATCAAAATTGCACTTTTCCATTCGACCAGTGTACAAAAAATGTATCAGTTTCTTAAGCGTTGATGCCCCAATATCTGAAATGGCAACCGCATTTTCTGCGGCTTCGATTGAATCGTGACTAAACATTCTGTAGAACACAGGGGAACGAGCTTGAAGAATAATTTTGTGAGCTTTGATGCTCACTTCCGCCGTTGTGAGTACGATGTCTGTGTTGAGACCTTCTTTCAGAATCTTCATCAAATCGGAAGAAATTTCATCCTTTCTTTTCTCGTGCGTAACATTCAATGTAGGGAAATAGTCGTTGTTTAACGATTTTGCTGTACAACTAACCATTATCGGATATTCAGTGGTATTTGGTACACGTGTGAAATCATGTCCAAACAAATCAATCTTATCGAATTCGGTGAAATCAATTATTGACTTACTGATACACTTAATACATGAATTGTTCTTGTCAAATATTGTAAGGACATAATATCCATTTCCCAAAAGTTTGGGATTATGCAGATAAAAAAATATTATCTCTTCATTAACCTCTATTTCAAGAATTGAGTTTATTTTTTCCGCACCTCCAAGGTTGAATTCAGAGCTTCGTAAAACATTGGGATTTCTTAAATCAGACTTTTCAAGCTTCCACTCAAAAAACAAGAAGTTTTTAGAATAAACAAGTAAAAGATTTTCATTTCGTGTCACACGAATCATTTTGATGCAGCAAATAACACTTAATTAAATTTCTAAATCAAAATTATAACTTCCTTTTCGAACGAAAAAGAGTAGGTACGAATTCCTAATTAGATAAGAGTTTTCCAAACAGCAGTTCCTTGATACGAATATGTTTCACAATGAGAAAGCAACAACGCAACTAGTATCTAACTCAAACACCAATTGAAACTTAAAAATTACCCATAAGCCTTAGCGAATGACGACTGACTTTGATAAAACACTCTGTTTCATTCAATCGAAACTAATTTTAATCATTACGTCAAAGATAAAGCTGTTTCTTATCTTTAAATATCCCAAATAGAAGAGAATAAACATCAATCATTTGAATTATTTATTCGTTATATATTTTTACAAATATATTNTTCTCCCCCCCCCCCTCCCAGTCAAAAAATCGTGAATTTCGCCGTCGTTGTTTTTGGTTGTTCAAACTTAATGAAAACATTTTGTTTTGCTGCACAAAAAGAATTAGGAAAAAAAATATTGCAGTGGTGTAGAAACATGTACGGGGAACAATTAATTAAAAATAAATAAAATTTGATATTTAGTTCGAAAATTGATTTTAATGCTTCTTTTTTCCTAAATTCTAATTTGTTCTAAAGTTGTTTTAATGTTCTAATTTGTTCTAAAGTTGTTTTCTGTCACACTTTCAGTACCGTCTTTACGCATGGAAACGCCCGGGAAGTGCCCGGGGGCCCCAAGCATTCAGAGGGTCCTTGAGAATCATACTTTTCATAAATTGTATTAAAAAAAAATAAGAGCAAAAACATTGCATTATACATTTTTTGTTATAAATATATTCCCTCGTAAAACGTGTGCATTTTTTCTGTAAATAGTGATGGATTATCATGCAAGCACTAATAATTTGAATAGTTTATCACCAGTAAAACTTAAAAAGTCAACCGAAATCTATTTTTTCACATTAAAATGTTCTTAAGTACTCAACTAATTTCTCTAAATATGCCTGACCACCACCAACTCCGTTTAGAGTTTATAATTAGTTTAAATAAAGTAATAATTGAACGAGTTTAGAATTACAGAGCACTATGGGACAGCAAGGTTTAAACTAGTTACGTCTGATGTGCTTCGCGAGATGTTTTAATAATTGACTAGTGTGACGAAATAATTCATACCTTCTGAATTTTTTTCACTTGTTATATCCTTATGTCTTTTTAAATTTAATCTTTTCATTAGCTTCTTCGTTTTGAAAAATATTTTATTATTTGAGGACTGCAACTGTTTATCATCTCAATATTTTTTCTAATTATGCATAGTCTAAAAAATGCTTCTCTTTATATGCATTGAGTTTTTGGGGTGATAAAAATGTGTTCAAAAATTATAGCATATCTAAAAATACTTTATTTTATGTATGTGAAGTTTTTTAGTTCGATTTTCGACATGTTGTGGGGGCCCAAAATATTTCTGCTTCCGGGGCCCTGCTTGCTATTAAGGTAGTCCTGCATACTTCTTTTTGTTGTGCAAAAACTGTTGGCTTAGAGACTTGAAATCACGAAGGTACAAAGATGTGTCAAAAGTGTACAAGAAAAACAATGGAATAAAACAAAATTTAACACTCGATAATAAGTTTTCTAAGTATTAACTGCTAGATTTGAAGTAATATTATAGCATTTGAATCGTTCTGCACTGCGTAGAAATGCAATTTCAGAGTTGAAATTTCACATGTCGAAAGGGTCATTTTCATTTATGAATTTAATGCCATTTTTCTTCGAAATATGTTTTCATATAGTCACTATTGCTACAAATTCAAATTTAAAAACTTTTTATTATGTGAATTTGTAGTCTAGGCAGAAAACTGTCTAGTTTCAGGATTTAAAAAAAATCTTCAGGGATGCAACAGACGACTTAAAATGTAAGAAATGGTTAAAATTAGTTCATTATTTTTTATTTAATTTTTCAATAGTAACTACCAACATGACTTGTATTGTAAATTATGCATATTTAAAGCGATAAAATTGTTTGCAATCACCCTCAATTATAAACTGAAAGAAATATGATAAAAAAAGTTCCTAATATAAGGTAAGGTTGAAATACAAGGAATTTAGTTTAAATGAAATGAAATTAAAAAGTTAGAAGATATTTTATAAAAAAAATATTTTAATAATAGTAAAGAAAATTTAAAATATAAAAAAATATTTTAATAATAAAAAAATATTTTAATAATAATAATAATAAACAGCGACAAATATTTAATGCGAAGTGCTCTATTTCTTATATAGAATCAGTTGCCATCTTTTTTATATAAATGTTATACTTTTCTACTCCGTGATAAAATTAAACCTATGCAAACCTTACACTAATTTTAATCCCTTTTAATAGATTTTTGATTTTTATTAATCACCACTTTTAACATTTTTGGTCGCCTGTGGTATCCCTGCATCTTCAACATCATTTATATCTATCGCAATCAAGAATGAGTTATTTCTTAAAAAATAAATAAATAACAGAGTGAAAATTTTAAATTAGATAGGAACTCTATTAACCCTTTAATGGGCCCTTTATTACTAGTAAAGGTAAATTAAAGTATTTTTGGAATTGAAATTGTTTTAAGAACAGTAACTGATATAAAAAAAAAACTCATCTAGTTTATAAAAATGCCATTTTTTTGGTAGTAAATATATTTAACATGATCTATTAGGAACTTACTGACTTTTATTTTTCTTTATTTATAAAATAAATTCCTTAAATGCTACAAACTTCAAAAGGAATTATGTATTTTATAACTTTTATACGTTTTTTAAAAGTGACAAATGGTTACCAATTTTATTCAAACTCACTTCAAGAAAGCTGAAGTTATTGAAAAATGGAAACCTAAATTAAAAGTGGTAAAACGTGGTGGTAAGTATACTTACCACTGTCTTCAAAAGGGTTAACTTTTATTTATTTATCTTTAATTATTTGCTCGTAACTACCACTATGATTTACATTTGAAATTATGTTTATTTAAAACAATATCTATTTTCTGACTGAATTAATAGCAAATTGAAAAAATGCTTAACATTATCGCTAATTTTAATCTCGTTTAACATAGTTACGAATTTTATTAATCACCACTTTTTACATATTTAGTCCCCCGCGACAACTCAAAGTTTTGCAAATATTATTTAACTTTTGTTGTTGGGGAGAAATTACTCAGCCAGCTTCAACCGTTTAAACGATAATGTTCCATTTTTTGGAACATATTCTTCTTTCAAATTCCTAAATACTGGTAACGTAGCTATTTCAGTGTTAGCATACACTAAAAAAAAATTATATAAAAATTTGCGATGTATCCTAAAAAATGTAAATTCTTATATTTTTAAAACCAATTGATAAATAATGGTATGAAATGCAATAATTTATTCCCTAATGTGCTGCTGCTTTTTCCATGAAACAACTTTTCTAATAATTGCTGATAGTTCGGCAAGTAAGATTTTAACGTTAGTCAAAGTCATACTTTTATGTGTTTGGTCTAGAACAGGGCTGTCCAACTGTAAAGAGCCCACGGGCCAGAATTCCGGTCACTAATAACCTGGCGGGTCGCAGTTTGAAAATGTTGAATAATAACCTCTTACACAATAACATACCTGCCAACTTTCACTCTTTTCGAGAATGGATTTTCAGAGTGGTTGTAAAACAATAAACGAAAAACAATCTGGCTCAAATATACATTTATATTTTGATCCTGTTGAAATTCGCTTGCGCAATGATTATTATGCTTTTATATATTTATTGTAATTATTTATATGTAGTGGTGGTCAAACTCATTCATAATTATCATTATAATTCAAAAAGTTAATTGGAATAACCAGAGTATTGCTACCACTTTAAAAATGAAAATAAAATCTTCCCGAAAATCCGGAAGAGTTGGCAGGTTTTCAATAACAATTAATGGTTGAATTATTAATTATAAAACAATGGAACAGAAGGATTATAAAGCAATTTGCTTACATTTTAATAGGAAAACTGAGGTTGATCAACCTGAATAATAAGTTGGCAGGTCGTACCATATGTGTTAGCGGGCCACATTCAGCCCGCCAATTGGACAGACCTGGTCTAGAATACAATAAATGCTTTGATAATCAAGATTATTTAAATAAAATCTCAAATATGTAGTTTACTACCACTTTAAATTTTTAGAAGAAATTTATTCAATAAATTAAATGGATCTTTTTTTAATCACCTATAACATATTTTGGAAAAGTTTTGTTTTACATTTAAACTGACAGTGAAAATAATATTTATTTGCTATTTTTTGTCTTCATAAATATGTTTTAAAATTATATTAACCACCACTATATATAAATTGAATTAACATTTAATCAAATGCATAATAATTTGCGTTATTTTTAAACTCTAACAATCAAACGAAATAGAAAACATGTTTCTGCTTATAATTAATCCTTCTACTACCTCTAAAGAAAATCATCCTCAGAAAGATAAAAAGCTGTTGAAGGCTGTTAAAAATAAATAACTCTTTATCATATTTTAATTAAGTTGTGGTTAAATGAACTTTATTATCCATTGGCGAAATGGGTGTTTGCTTAGGATTTGATGGCGTTGCGCACCTTATTTGGACGTCATCGCACTTTTCAACTGTGTTCAAGAATAATAGTAAACAGTGCACATGCGTTGCTATGGCGACCGTTGATAATTTTTTTAGAAATTTTTTCTTTAACAAGCGGTCATTTATATCTTGATGTATTTACATAATAATGATTTAAAGTTTTTTTTAATATTATTTTTATAATTAACTTATGATTAACAATGATTTTAATATAAATATGAATGCTGAAGAAGGTATTTTGTAACGTCTTGAACCAATCCGACGACAAACATCAATTGAGACAGTTTTTGCAACCCATGATTTGAAATGTTGTGGCGTTTAAAGGAGTCAAAACAGAGAAGTAATCATTTAACCAATGGGTAACCAGCATATATGGCAGTACTTTTACTTTCGTTACTTGTACCGCCGGTACAAGTAAAAAGTACGTACTTTTACTTGTACTTCGTTACTTTTTAAATTTAGTACTTTTACTTGTACTTTCGTTACTTTTTTAGGGAAAAAGTACAAGTATTTGTATCGGAAATGTCGAATGAAATCGTTACTTTTTTCTAAAACTCGGTAAGCTTTCTAAAAAAAAAA